CCCGCCCTTGACAATCCCCTGGCCTCCCCTACCCCCCAGTGTCTTATGTCCATTGGTTATGCTTATATGCATGCATACAAGTCCTTCAGTTGATCTCTTACCCTCCCCTCCTACCCCCCAACCCTCCCCGGCCTTCCTGCTGTAGTTTGACAGTCTGTTCGAGGCTGCTCTGCCTCTGTATCTATTTTTGTTCATAAGTTTATAATTGTCTTTATTATCCATAAATGAGTGAGATCATGTGGTATTTTTCCTTCATTGACTGGCTTATTTCACTTAGCATAATGCTGTCCAGTTCCATCCATGCTGTTGCAAATGGCAAGAATTCCTTCTTTTTTACAGCAGCATAGTATTCCATCGTGTAGATGTACCACAGTTTTCTAATCCATTCATCTACTGATGGGTACTTAGGCTGTTTCCAGATCTTAGCTATGGTGAATTGTGCTGCTATGAACATAGGGGTGCGTATATCCTTTCTGATTGGTGTTTCTGTTTTCTTGGGATGAATCTGACCTTTTCTTATAGGTCCCGTTCCTTTATTTAGGACCCCTATGTTTTCCTTATTAGTCATTTTGCTACATAGAATTAGTTTCAAAGCTCAAAGCCCACGTGGTACCCCCCCCCCCCCCCATTTTCTCTCCCCCTTATCTTGCTGGTTGGGGTCACTTTTGATTTACGGTTTTCTTCCAGTTGTGCTGGCAGAGAAAGCCTTATCTTATAGCTCTCCCAGCTACTCAGGCCAGGGCTACTTTTGGTCTAACTTATGGTCACTTTAATTGCTCAGGCCAGAGGTACCCCTGTCTGTCCTTGGTTTATGGCTGTTTTAATTGCTTAGGCCAGAAATATTTCTATCTGGGTGTGGCACTTTTCTATCCTCTGTAGAAGTAAGTAAGATAAGCACACCCTGGCGTCTTTACTAGTAAGTCTCCATCTATGCATTCCTCTCCCTTGGACCCTCCTCATTCCCTAAACCTCCCTAAACAAGCTACTAGCTAACCCTTTCAGTATTATATTAGTTTCAGGTGTACACCCCAGTGATTCACTATAACTTACTAAGTGATCATCCGGATAAATCTTGTACTCATCTGATAACATACATAGTTGTTAGAATATTATTGACTGTATTTCCTATTCTGTACTTTACTCCCATGACTATTCTGTAACAACAAATTTGTTTTTCTTAATCCCTTCTCCTCTTTCACCCATCTCCCAACCCCCTCCCATCTGGCAACCATCAAAATGTTCTCTGTATCTATGAGTCTGTTTCTGTTTTGCTTGTTCATTTATTTTGATTTTTAGATTTAATTGTTGATATATGTGTTTATTGCCATTTTATTGTTTATATTTTTTATCTTTTTTTTTCTTCTTAAAGAAGACCCTTTAACATTTCATGCAATACTAGTTTGGTGGTGATGAACTTCTTTAGCTTTTACTTGTCTGGGAAGCTCTTTATTTATCCTTCTATTCTAAATGATAGCTTTACTGGATGGAGTAATTTTGGTTGTAGGTCCTTGCTTTTCATTACTTTTCCATAGTGTAAATGTCCCACAGTTTTTTTATCCATTCATCTACTGATGGGCATTTGAGCTGTTTCCAAATCTTAGCTATCCTATATAATAAAGAGGTAATATGTAAATTAACCCTCAGGCCCTCACAAAATGGCTGCCTACATCCAGGCCGGCAGGGGGTTAGTGAGGGATGACCAAACGACTGAACAAGCAGGCTGCTTGGGGAGACCAAGCCAGCAGGGGGGCAGTTGGGGGCGACCAGGCCGGCAGAGGGGGGCAGTTGAGGGTGACCTGGCCGGCAGCAGGGGGCAGTTAGGGATGACCAGGCAGGCAGGCAGGTGAGCGATTAGGAGCCAGCGGTTCAGGATTGTGAGAGGGATGTCCGACTGCCGGTTTAGGCCCGATCCCGGATTGGAAAAGATGCAGGCTGGGCTGAGGGGACCCCCCCCACCCCCCCCCCCCGCTACATGAATTTCGTGCACCAGGCCTCTAGTTGTAAATAATGCTGCTATGAACATAGGGGTATATATTCTTTCTGAAACTCCATACTGTTTTCCATAGTGGCTGCACCAGTCTGCATTCCCACCAGCAGTAAACTAGTGTTCCCTTTTCTCCACATCTTTGCCAGCACTATTGTTTGTTGATTTCTTTATGATAGCCATTCTGACAGGTGTGAGGTGTTATCTCATTGTGGTTTTAATTTGCATTTCTCTGATGATATGTAACTTTGAGCAGTTTTTCATATATCTATCTCTTGGCCATTTACATGTCATTTTTGGAGAAATGTCTGCCCATTTTTAAATTGGATTGTCTTCCTTTTGTTAAGATATATGAGTACTTTATATATTTTGGATATTAACCCCTTATCAAATGTATCCTTTGCAAATATGTTCTTCCATACAGTAGATTTTCTTTTCATTTTGATGGTGGTTTCTTTTATTTTGTGCAGAAGCTTTTATTTTATTTTATTTTTTTAAAGAAATCTTTATTGTTCAGATTATTACAGATGTTCCTCTCCCCACCCCCCCATAGCTCCCCTCCGCCTGGTTCCCACCCCACCCCATGCCCTTACCCCCGCCACCTTCCCCATCCATAGGTGTAAGATTTTTGTCCAATCTCTTCCTGTACCCCCCACACCCCCTTCCCC